CCACAATGATAGTATTTCTCGACCTTAAGGCGGCATTTGACTCTGTTGATCGTGAGGTTCTATGGCAGTGTTTGTCGCTAAAAGGAGTACCAAAGAAGTACATCAACCTTATAAAGGCTCTTTACTCGAACACAACTGGTCGAGTGATTACCTCAAGTGGTGTTCGTCAGGGCTGTCCACTCTCTCCATTCTTGTTTAACTTTGTTGTTGACGTGCTTTTAAAGATGACACTTTCCTCATCTAAATTTCTAGGAGTTGAACTTCTACCGGGAGATCCACTTGTTGACTTAGAATATGCCGATGACATAGTTCTATTTAGTGAAGACGCTGACAAAATGCAGAGTCTGCCGACCACTCTAAGCAACAATGCAGGCATATTCGGCATGCGATTCTCTCCCTCGAAATGCAAAATGTTGCTTCAGGATTGGGTTGCGTCGACAACCGAACTAAAGATAGGGAGTGAAGTAGTTGAGCGTGTCAACCGCTTCACTTATCTCGGAAGTCTCATCAGCCCTTGTGGTCTGGTGTGTGACGAAATATCAGTACGGATACAGGAGGCTCGACTAGCTTTTGCCAACTTGCGTCATTTGTGGCGTAGGCGAGATATCCGTCTACCAACCAAAGGACGTGTTTACTGCGCAGCAGTTCGTTCCGTCCTACTTTATGGCAGTGAAACATGGCCGTTAAGATTAGAGGATATTCGTAGGGTACTAGTATTTGATCATAGGTGTCTTCGAAACATTACTCGTATATCCACCAAGTAAGTAACTCAGTTGCGAGGAAACGGGTACTAGGTAAGGATGGCTAATCAATGGGTGAAGTAGTGAAACTTAATCAGTTACGAATGCCCGACCACCGACTGCCCCGATGTGCGATGTTCAATGGTGTAGGAGTAGGTTGGAAGAAAGCTAGAGGCGGTTAGACCAAAACATGGCACAAATCCATGAAGTCACTGACAAGTGGACTGAGCCATGTTGGTAGGTGTAGACTACCTGGTTGGGGTCCGCGAGATGATAACAACCGATGGTTGGAAACCTTGAATGACATGGCTCAAAATCGTTTGCAATGGCGCAGGTGCATCCACTCTTTGTGTTCTCTCAAACTCTAATCTTCTGTGTTCTTCATGTCCTTTATTTTCTTTCCAAATCTATTCCACTGGACTGTACTCCTTAAATAACATCAAACCCTAATGTTCCCTATCACTACCTCTACCAACACGAGATTTGAATCGATAACTGAATCTCTGTGCGAATGTGGTATGGCAACTCGAACTTATGTACGTACGTACGAAGTTCCACGTTGTTACTGACTGACTGACTGTATGATAAGTGGGTTGCTACTACTATGAGCGTTACCCACGAAAATCCATATCACCAATCAGCAGGTTAACAGTATCAAACAATCTCATAATAGTGTAATTCGTGGTCGTGACAATGTCTATTGGTCATGTATTTAGATGGGAAAAATAGAGCCATACACCGAATATACGTAATCGTGGCTGCAATAGTGTTTCTGATGAATAACCAGTATCTACAATAATGCTCCAGGTATGGCTTCCTAAGGAAACCATCTGGTTCAGTTTGAGCACTCGGGCGGTACCCGAGCCCTCATACAAATTGAACAATTTATGTGGCACATATAGACTTGGTGCTTCCTTGTACCAATGTTTGTGTTTAAATGAATAAGTGCTCCTCAGTGAATGGAGGTGGTTAGGAAATGTTGACCCTTCACTTTGTATCGCTCTATTGACTTCCGGTCCCGGCTGTCAGTCCTGAATACTGTGGAGCTAACATATCAAAGACTCACAAAAAGACCATATGTAACGGGCTACAAACGTTTGTTCTTTGCACCATGTGGTCACACTATCAGGTCGTCTAAACTACGTCTAACTTGGTTTCCTTTTCGGGTACCTCAAATTGTATCCTTTAACGGGATAGCCGACCAGGAAGTGACAACCGCCCTCATAACTTTAATAACTCTGAAAACCAGCTTGTTTGCAGTCGAATCCGCTTTTCTTTTCCCAACATTTTTATCTCTATCATCGTTCTTCGTTTTCTGTCTCCAACGTCTTCTTACATGTTGCACCAATGCCAACGGTCCGAATTTACGCAATCCTATCCTAGTTTTCGTGAACCCCCTTTCAAACTACTTTTGGAGTCTTCAATACTTTGTCAAATCAGACAAGAGTTACTAGCTAAGACCCTAGAACCTGGTTTTATCTATGTTTACTTTCCTCAAAGCAAAAATACAGAATTTCAACGTGTTCGTTTGATTAATGTGACCTAGCTAGTACAACAAACCAACACGATTCACCTTTTTGTGTGTCGAGATTTGGCTGCAATTTCTCGTGCCGTTATATATATATAGTATGAAGTTCCAAACCAAAAACAGGCTTTCCTATATTGAATCACAGTATACAATCGCTTATGCACCGGTTAAATGGTACCGAAGGACATAAACACTCCATTGTCTCTGTCGTTTTTGCCTACGCTCTCACTGACTACAGTTTAGATTATAAAAATGACACGTTTTACAAAAAGCTTTTCAATCTTCAAAATACCAAGTAGTAATTGTAGCAGGTAATTCCAACACTCAAGTACCGTCAGACTGCATCTGACGTTGCTCCACTGCCTTGTGGATTAGACCTTTAGGTCAAAGGCTCAGGGTGTGGCCCCCTAAGAAAACCACCTGCTTCTGTCCGGGCACATGGGCGGTATCCGAGCCGTCACAAATCGAATAATTTATGTGGCGCCTCTTTGTACCAAGGCACATATATGCATCAGTCCAAGTCGCCATACCTCATTAGCACAGCAAGATGAACACCGGATTCATAGAAGTAGTTAATTCAGTGGTGGTAATATGTAGAAGAAAGATTGCATATATGGATACAGTACAAGAAGAAACAAATAGTTCGTAGAAAGAGATATGAAGCGATTTTAATCTCATAGTTTGATGGAAGACATAGAGTGTATACACTTACGACATTGTGATCGATTCTGAGCCATGTCACCCACAGTCTCTAACCATTGGTTACGATAGTCAAGCGGACCCCAATCAAGTAGTCTGCATCTACCAACATGGCTCAGACTCGAAGTTAGTGTCTTCAAGCACTGATGCCACGTTTTGGTTTGGCCGCCCCTAACCTTTTTCCAATTATCCCTAATACCAGTTAGTATTGCGCGCCGTGGTAATCGGTGTTCAGGCATACGCAACACGTGGCCCAACCAGCTCAGTCGATGAAGATTTAGAACCTCATCAACTGACTTACCATCATTCCCTAATACCTTGCGTCTAACCTCACTATTAACTTACCCGGTGATCCCAGAAGATGCGAGCAATATTTCTAAGATATTTGTGATCAAATACTTGTAGCTTACGAATATTTTCTACTCTTAATGGTCATGTTTCTCAGCCGTAAAGTAAAACAGAACGAACTACTGCTCCGTACACTCGTCCTGTAATTGGTCGACTGATATCTTGCTTTCGACATAGGTGACGTAAGTTATCAGAAGCCAAACGAGCTTTACTGAATCCATGCAGAGGTTTCGTCAGACACCAACTCATGAGGGCTGATCAGACTGATCAGTGTTGTCGACGCATCTCGACATCCTGATATTGTTTCCCAGTTCTACCAAGAGACTGCATTTTATCAGCGCCCTCACCAAGCAGGCCTATATCATCCGCATATTCTAAGTCGATAATTGGATCTCCTGGTAGGCAATGAATACCTGAAAATTTTTGAGAACGTTATCTCCAGCAGTACCTTTATAATGAAGTTGAACAAAAGTGGAGATAGTAAACAGCCTTGTCGGACACCACTTAAGGTTGCGAAATCAGATGACAGCTTCGATTCGACTGGTAGTGTTCGAGTAAATGACCTAATAGGCACAAACAACATTTACCTATTTCCATCCTTTGTTAAATACGTGGTTTAAACAGATCATAAGATTGATCTTAGCATTTTTAATTGTATATAACAGCTGTCTATGGCGACTACTTGGGTTTGTTGAAATCTTAGCCATAAAAAATCTCAACTTCCCTCTGTATGTTAAAAAGCGATTCGTAATTACATCAAACCTGCCTATCTCGGTAGTATTGACTTATTATCTTGGTTTTTACCCCTTGTTTTCGTCACTTGTTTTGAGATGTCGGTCTACCAATGAAGAGCCTGGCATACTGCACACTGATTCGTTGTGCGTCACTTAATGATTGTGTTAGCCTTTAGAAATAGAGGATATTCGTAGGTTATTAGTACTTGACCGTTGAAACCTTCGATGCATTGCTTTCGTATATCAGAACTACCGAATGTACACAGTTGGGGTCAGATGTATGGTAGTAGGTACGTATGTCAAACTGGTTGACGAGATTTTGGATTTCCATCAACTGATGTAGCGGTCGGTACATGTAATACACATACCAGCCACCACCTACCTTGACACACGATGTTATACTGACAAGTGTAGGCTCGAAGCAGTCTAAGGGCTGCTAAACCAAAACACGAGACCAGTTCATGAAGTCATTAACTACTGGTTTAGGCCGTGCTAGTAAGTGTAGACTGCGTAATTGGGGTCCAAGTGGTTGAAGCTTTTAAATGACATGGCTCAGAATCGGTCGTAAGAGCGCAAATTCTCACACTTTTCCGCTGAAACATGAGTTCCAGAAATACTTTATTCCACGAATTCACTCTGCTTGAACCATACTTTCTATACTTAATATTTTTTCACTATCGCTGATACCACCATTATTTCTTCTACCTTGCGAAAGAACCCGAAGCAACTGGTATTTTAATCAATTTTTGTTGTTTGTACGATCTTGGCAGACAAGCTCGACCATTATGTATAGGTAGAAGCTGTGGTCATGTCTAAGTTTAATGACGAGTTACAGTTTATTTATGTATAATTCACATTCTTTCACCTGTATTTAACTCACAAAATCTACCCTGAGTGTTTTATTCTTCATTCCTCACTTATTCTACAGTTAATCGGTCGAAATTTATTCACATGGCCGTAAGTGGCGAAAGACTAGGGAAGTCAAGCACTCGTGTTAGTAGTGATCTATCCTTAAACAATGCAAGCACTCATAATATTGGCAAAAATAGTTTGGTAGTGTCTAACTGGCCTGATGCTGTCATTCCACAAATTTCCACTATCAGATGTCAAGCAAATCAACCACCACTATCTTCATCACCTGTACTGAGTGCGTGTGGTGCTATTTATGGTCAACTGGTAACAGCAGACCAATTATGCCAGTTGGAACAGCATTCAACCACAAATACAAATGATGAAATTACTAAGCCAATTGACGTCGGACAAAAGAAAGCTAGTTTGTGTCTAACTAGCATGAAATCAACACCATATGAAAATAAAATTCAAAAAGCTGTATCAATAATTAGTACTAACGTAACTTCCAGTACAAATGTTTGTCAACCTACTTCTCAGATAATAGTGGCTCAGTCAGCTTATGCCAATTTAGATCCAACAGTCACCAAAATACAACAACATACTAACAGAGATGTTCATCAACCTATGGAATTATCGCATTCACTTGGTTCAGAATCATTTATATTTTCATGCCATTCCGATGTTCAACCAACTGCAATGGATATTGGCGGACAACCAGGTAGTCCATCATTATCAAAAAATCTTACAACTGTAGTATCTAGTTGTTTACTTCAAAGTAGTACTTCGCAGAGCGGATTAAATACTTACTGTTATCCAATTTTTCCATTTCCTGTTTCCACTGCGGATGAAATTACTTGTAATTCAACATTATGCAACCATGTCAAAGATGCTGGATTAGGCAATAATACTCGTGGTACTATAGTTGCTCATTGTGAACCGGTAGTAAATGTTAGTAATCAATATCCCTGTCCACGAGATTTAGAACAACGACCTGTCATTAAAATGTCAGTGAATCTTATTCGAACTTATAAAAATATTAATGAGGTAAGTTTTATTAAATTATGCACCATGAAAAGATATTTCAATAATTCATGTTTATGCTTGTAGTTCACAAACATTGTCATTTTTTCTGTTTTCCAATGCACAAAGATCTACTGTAATATTTATAAGATTAAAAATAATATGTTTATGAAAGTTTTGTGGTAATTAGGCAATTCAATTTTTTTACTAATGTAGAATTTCTTTTACTCGAAAACAGTGTTTGGATTAAAGAATCTAATTTATCTGTAAATGTTATTCGAGAAGAAATCACTGTAGCTCTAGGGAGAAGCCATAATGGACGGGGTCCAGTTATTCTGGGTATGAGGCAGTTACCCACTAATAACAGTAGACGATAGTTGGGCAATATCGCGAGTTAATCGATGTTTCACATTTGGACCTCTGAATACTGACTCAGTGGTCAAGAGGTTAAGTTCTCTTCAAGAAATTCCAAGCTCTCAAGTTCGATTCTCTGTGGAGTCGTGGATGTGCACCGCTGAAGAGTTCGATACTAAAATAAAATAGCTGTTCACTTCCCCCTGATTCCTAGTAATTGTCAGCTTATCATCTCAATAATATTCAACAATGTCTACAAAACCCGTATAACAACAATTACCTACAAATATCCTATTACCTTGACATACCTTTTATTTATTCGAATAAAAGAAAAACTATCCTACCGTTAATGTTTAATTCTATGGACCAGTGTTCTCATTCAGATCTACTTGTGTAAGTTACAAGTTTTCTCAATTTTTGGGAAAACTAACGTTCAAAGTTTGTTCAAGTTTATTTATATTAGTCAAATACTTTTATTATTTGTCTTCACGTATTAATTTATAAAATATTGATAAAATCTGTTAGCTCCTATAACCTTCCCGTACCATCCAGACTGTCTCATGTCGTCTAAGATGGTCAACCACAATAACACTCACATTGCTTATTTTATTATTTATTTTATTTTAACACATAGACATCGGTACAAGGAGGCACCAAATACATATGCGCCACACAGAACTCATTTGATATATGTGAGGGCACTGATACTACCCGGGTTCCCAAACCGAAGCAGGTGGTTTTCTTAGGGGGCCACACCCGGAGCCTTTGACTTTGAAGGTCTGATCCACAAGGCAGTAGAGCATCGTAAGGAGATGCAGTCCCATGGTAGCCGGTGACCAACAATATTTTCATACGCTTTTGAGAGATGATCCTTCTATTAATAAGGGCTTAATCAATTATACAGACTAAATGTAGTACTGAGTTTAATGAATCTATTCTAGAGTTATTTTATGTAGTAAAAAATAAAACTTTAGTTTACTTGTTCGTTCTCATAAAGTTTATGCTTGAAATGAGAGTAATAACTGATAAAACTATGAAAGCAACATTTCTCATGAAAAATTGATTATTTCCATTCACTTTCTTATTTTTCAACTTCAAAGCTAACTTACCTATTGCGATATTTTTCATCTGATGAACTGGCATTAGTTCACTAACTCATTCATTGCGTTAGGGTCCTGCTCACTGCTTTCTTGAGGCGTGGGTTTTGTCTACGAAATTTAGGAGACGAAAAGCGAATGTCTGGCTCTTTAACCGGGTCGGTGGGTACGGAACATCCATGTAAGGGAGTTGGGAAACTCTGATTGCTGAGCAATGGTGCACATAGGCTCCACGATCCTGAGTAAACAAAAGGCATATGAACCTATTGTTATCCACCGGCTACCACGGGACTGCATCTCCTGACGTTGCTTCGTTGTCTTGTGGATTAGACCTCTAGGCCAAAGACTCAGAGAATGGCCCCTCAGGAAACCACCCGGCCGTTATTGCTACCTTGACGTGGTGGTCGGGCTTGCCTATCGTGATGAAGCAACTGAGCTATACTGGCTGGAACAACCGTTCTTTAAGGTCCTACCATGCCAGACAGGTCGGTTGAAGAGCGGTATGACTAAAAGCAACAAAACCAAGGTTCGAAGTCGTACTGCTGACTGTACAGAGGTGTGATAGCAGTAAGGTGTTTCCTTCAGACAACCAGCATGACAGCGATACTGCCCTCCCACAAGGAAGGGTGAAGTTAGAAAAGGTCCACCCAAAAAATGCACACCTCGCCTTATCCCACGGATATCCGTCTGTGGTGGTAAGGTCTGAACAAGTACGGAGCTAACACAAAAACTACTCATAAAAGGTCGTGTGTGACCGACTTCAAGCAGCTATCCCTTGAGCACTGAGGTCACGCTCTCAGGTCACTAAGACCACCTCTAACCCAATTTCCTTTCCAGGTACCTCCAGAAGAACCCTTCCACTGTGTGTGAGAAACCGGGAAGTGATAACCGCCCTCATACCTCTAATAGCACTCAAGACCACTGTATTCATAATCAACCTCCCTCTTCAATTCCTATTATTTCTCGTACATTGACTTTCAAACCTAAACCTCCTCCTTTGGTTTTCTCCTCAAGTATCACCATAGCCAACGATTCTAGTGCTCAAAACACTGTCCCAGGTCTACTGAAACCTCGCTCCAATCTACACATTGGAGCCTTCAACGCCCACAAACTATGTTACATTGGTTAGCAGGCATCCTTGGCTAAAACCCTAGAATCTCGTACCATTGATGTATGCTGTGTCTCCGAAACACGCATACAGGATCCTAGCGTGGTCATTCACTTGACCTGACCTGGGCAAGACGGAGAGCCGACGAGATACACCCTGCGTGTATCTGGAGACCCGACGGCTAGTTCTCGTGGACTGGCAGGTGTAGGCATAGCACTAAGCATGAGGGCGGAACAAGCACTATTAGAGTGGATCCCCGTTAACAGTCGTCTATGCGCTGTTCAGCTAAACTGCTCGGAAAGATAGGGACACACGTCGTTGCATTTTCTTCGTTTCTGCCTACGCTCCCACTGACTGCAGTTCGGATGAAGTGAAAAATGAATTTTACAGAAAACTGTCTGAACTTCTTCAGAAAGCTAAACGTTCAGACATAGTACTCGTAGCAGGTGACTTTAATGCCCAGGTAGGTAGCTTAAACGAAACAGAAAGACACTTAGATGGGTATTTTAGTATTCCGGCACAGCGAACAGATAATGGTGATCGTCTGCTGCAACTGTGCTCAGACAATCGTTTAGTTTTAGCAAACACAAATTTTAAGCATAAGGAGAGACACCGTCTGACATGGTGACCCCCTGCACCAAATTAACGATACACTCAAGTAGACCATATTGCCATCAGTCATCGTTGGAGAGGATCAATAGAAGATTGTCGCTCGTTCTGTAGTACCTGCTTGGACTGTGACCCTGTCCCAATATGAGCACGCATCTGCTTGCACTTCACTGGAGGCAAAAAAGCCACACTAAGAAGACCCATGAGGACTGAACTGAGTAACGAGAAAAGCAAAAGTAGGTTCCAAGAACAACTGAGGTAACACTTAGGTAGTTCTGAAAACGAGGCTGACCCAGATGTTGCTTGGAAAGATATACAAGCAGCTGTGGAAACAGCAGTGACTTCAATTAGTAATTTAAACTCATCCCATCAGGTTCTGAACACGATGAAGAGCGTAAAGAAATCAGATCTAGGTTAAGCAAAAGTCTAAGGAACGACCATGAGCGGTGGTGGGCAACGAAAGCAAAAGAGATGGAAAAGGCTGCGGCTATAGGGAACACAAGACAACTCTACAGACTAATAAAAGAAACTGGAATTAATAAATCAAGTGTAAGTCAGACCATTTCGGAAAAAGACGACACTCTCATCTGCTGCCAGTCCAGACGCTTAGAACGATGGGCGGAACACTTTAAGGAGCAGTTTAGCTGGCCTTCAGCTACTCTACAACTACCCTCTATTCCCAGACAGTGTGAATGGAACATTGAAGTAGGTCCCCCAACTCTAGCTGAAGTTCAAAAGGCTATAGCTAATCTGAAACGAGGAAGGGCATCTGGTCCAGATGGATTGGCCCCAGAGGTCTTTAAGGATGGTGGTCTAGTCTTAGCGATTAGGTTGACTAATATTTTAGCTAAAATCTGGGAGTTAGACGTTATTCCATCTAACTGGTCACAATCACTTATCGTCCCAATATTTAAGAAAGGGTCAAAATCATCCTGTGACAACCACAGAGGGATTAGTTTGACTAATATAGTGTCTAAAATACTAGCTTCGATAATTTTCGGACGCCTAACTAAGACTCGTGAACTGCAAACACGAGAGAATTAAGCTGGCTTCAGACCTGGTCGTGGATGTATCGACCACATATTCACCATTCGTCAGGTTCTAGAACACAGGCATACTTATCGGCGTCTGACAATGGTGGTCTTCCTTGACTTAAAAGCAGCATTTGACTCTGTAGATCGAGAGGTTCCGTGGCAGTGTCTGTCATTGAAAGGCGTACCTCAGAAGTACATAAACCTTGTGAAGGCTGTTTACTCGAACACTACTAGTCGAGTCAGAGCTTATGGCGAACTGTCATCTGCTTTCGCAACCTCAAGTGGTGTCCGTCAAGGCTGTCCACTTTCTCCTTTTTTGTTTAACTTCATCATAGATCTACTGATGGAAATAACGCTCTTATCGACTGAATTGTCGGGTATTGATCTCCTACCAGGAGGTCCACTTATTGACTTAGAATACGCAGATGACATAGTCCTGTTTGGTGAAGACGCTGATGAAATGCAGTCTTTTGGTAGCACTGAGCAACAATGTCAGAATGTTTGGGATGTGCTTCTCTCCCTCTGAATGCAAGTTGTTGCTTCAGGACTGGTCTGCGTCAACACCTGAACTAAGGATAGGGAGTGAAGTAGTTGAACGCGTTGACAACTTCACTTATCTTGGAAGTCTGATCAGCCCTAATGGGTTGGTGTCTGACGAAATCTCAGCACGGATTCGAAAAGCTCGTTTGGCCTTTACCAACTTACGCCATCTATGGCGAAGGCGAGATATCCGTCTATCAATTAAGGGACGAGTATATTGCGTGGCAGTTCGTTCCGTTCTACTATACGGTTGCGAAACATGGCCTTTAAGAGTAGAAAATA